CGGGGTTATTGGGGGGAAAAATGGGGTTACTGGGGGGAAAAATGGGAAGTATTGGGACTAGCAACAGGGGCTGGTAGTGCCCGCAGCCGCCGTGGCCCTGGAACGGGGGAAAATGGGGGGAAAATGGGGTTATTGGGGGGAAAAATGGGGTTATGGGGGTGTAAAAGGGGGTTATTGGGGGTGTAAAACGGGGTTATTGGGGTGAAAATAGGGGTTATTTGGGTAAAAAATGGAAATTATTTGGGTTTCTGGGAGATTAATAATGGGCTGGTAGCGCCCGCAGCCACCGTGGCCCTGAAATGGGGGGAAATGGGGTGAAAAATGGGAATTACTGGGGGGACAAATGAGGATTTTGTGCCACAGACAGAAGTTTTGAGGCCACAAACAGGAATTTTGGGGCCACAAACAGAAGTTTTGGGGCCACAAACGGGAATTTTGGGGCCACAAATGAGGACTTTGGGGCCACAAATGAGGATTTTGGGGCGCCCACCTTCTCCTTGGTGAGGTCCTCGTCGCCCTCGGGCTGCTCCACCCCGAACTTGTGGTCCATCTCCTCGCCCCCCTCGCAGATGTTCTTGCCCTTGCACAGGTCGTAGACGTGGGTCAGCCTCTTCTTGGGCTGCCCCTTGGACTTGCCCAGGATGTCCTTGATCTTGGGGTTGTTCTGCCCAAAAAACCACAGGTTTGGGGTCAGAAAACGCCATTTTGGGGTCAGAAAATGCCTTTTTGGGGTCAGAAAATGCCTTTTTGGGGTCAGAAAATGCCATTTTGGGATCATGTTGTAGTTTTGGGGTCAGAAAAGGTGATTTTGGGTGTCTGGTGCTGTCCCACTGCGGTCCCTCAGCATCTCCAGAGCTTCCAGGACCACCCAGCAGGTGACAACTCTGTGTGCCCTGACTCCAGTTGTCTCCTCTTGATGTGTCCCTCAACTTTGTCACTTCTTGGTATCCCCCAAATTTTGTCACCTCTTCTTGGTGTCCCCCACATTTGTCACTTCTTTGTGGTGTCCCTCAACTTTGTCACCTCCCCTTGCTGTCCCCCAAATTTTGTCACTTCTTGGTGTTCCCAAATTTTGTCACCTTTTCTTGGTGTCCCCTGATTTTGTCACTTCTTCTTGGTGTTCCTCAACTTTGTCACTTCTTGATGTCCCCAAATTTTGTCACCTCTTCTTGGTGTCCCTCAACTTTGTCACCTCTTCTTGGTGTCCCCCCACTTTGTCACCTCCCCTTGACCCCCAGCACCCCCAAAATGGTCCCAAACCCCCCAAAAGCCACCACCACCCCCCATCCCTGACGTGTCCCCAAGGTGCCACCACGGAGCCATTTCCAGCCCAAACCCGACCCCTCCCCCCCAAACTTTTGGGGTGCCTCAGGGATTTTTGGGGTCTCACCGAGTCCACGAGCAGCTTGGAGCAGAAGAAGCAGACGCAGCGCAGGATTTTCATGGTTTTGCCCAAAAATCCCACGTGGAACACGGGCTTGGCCAGCTCGATGTGGCCAAAGTGGCCCGGACACTCCGTCATGTTCCCTGGGGACACCCCAAAATCGGATTGGGGACAAATCTGACATAAAATGTGGCAGTCTGAGGTAAAACCCAAAGGTACAACCTGACACAGCCCCACACAACAGTCGGACACAAAATGTGACACAAAATATTACAAATGTAACACAAAATGTAACAAATCTGACACAAAATGTGACACAAAATGTGACAAAATTGTGACAAATCTGACATAAAATGTGGCAGTCTGAGGTAAAACCCAAAGGTACAACCTGACACAGCCCCACACAACAGTCGGACACAAAATGTGACACAAAATATTACAAATGTAACACAAAATGTAACAAATGTGACACAAAATGTGACACAAAATGTGACAAAATTGTGACAAATCTGACATAAAATGTGGCAGTCTGAGGTAAAACCCAAAGGGACAACCTGACACAGCCCCACACAACAGTCGGACACAAAATGTGACACAAAATATTACAAATGTAACACAAAATGTAACAAATGTGACACAAAATGTGACACAAAATGTGACAAAATTGTGACAAATCTGACATAAAATGTGGCAGTCTGAGGCACAACCCAAAGGTACAGCCTGACACAGCCACACGCAACAGTTGGACACACAATGTGACAAGCGTGACACAAAATGTGACACAGTCTGAGGTACAACCCAAAGGTACAACCTGACACAGCCCCACATGGTACAGTCAGACACACAATGTGACAAATGTGACACGGTGTGACAGCCCCACGTGGCACAGTCGGACACACCACACCCCCCCACAGTGACAACGCCACCCGAGGTGACACCGAGGGTCGGTGACACCTGAACCCCCCAACACCCTGCTACACCCGGCCGTGCCTGTTGTGCCCTGGCGTCGTTGTCCCCTGGTTTTGTCACCGTTTTGTCCCCGTTTTTGGGTGGTGGCACCGTGGTTGTGCCCTCGGTTGTGTGTCACCATGTCCCCGCTTTTGTCCCCGTCCCTCTCTCCTTGTGTCCTCTTTTGTGTCACTCTAACCCCAAAATTGTCCCCACTTCTGTCTGCTTGTGTCCCCAGCTGTGTCACCCGTGTCTTGTCGTGTCCCCAACTGCGTCCCCTCCTGTCACCCGTGTCTTGTCATGTCCCCTCCTGTGTCCCCAGCTGTGTCACTCATGTCCTGTTGTGTCCCCTCCTGTGTCCCCTCCTGTCACCCGTGTCCTGTTGTGTGCTGTGCTTGTGTCCCCAGCTTTGTGTCACTTTGTCCCCCACTTGTGTCCCCTCAGCCCTGTCCCCACAGCTGTGTCCCCAAATGTCCCCGTGTCCCCAAGTGTCCTTGTGTCCCCCACTTCTGTCCCCCTGTCCCCGCAGCCGTGTCCCCAAATGTCCCCCCATGTCCCTGCTTGTGTCACCCCCAGATCCCCCCGCT